CGACGGAAGAATCGAAGAATGGATGGAGGAACAATGGAGGGAGGGAGGAAGCAAGAACACTAGTGCAGTGAGCTTCAAAATGTGCTGAGCTCGGGCTCGAGAGGAAGAAGGAGACTGCCGGGATATAAAGGGGGACCTTTAGTCCCGGTTGGTATAAAGGTAACTTTTCAACCCCTCAGCGCACCACGGCCGAGAGTAGACCTTTACTCCTGGTTGGAGCCACCAACCGGAGTAAAAAGTATACTTTAGTCCCGGTTGGTAGCTCCAACCGGACTAAAGGTCCTCGCCCTCTCTGCTGGCTTTGATGGCCGTTGAAATTGTGACCTTTAGTTCCGGTTGGAGCCATCAACTGGGACTAAAGGTATCTTTAGTCCCAGGCTTAAAAAATACCGGAACTAAAGCTCATTTTAACCGAGGATTAAAGATTTGTTCTCTACTTGTGGACGTGATTATGTATAACACGAAACTGAACACACCCAATGACCCGGTAGCTCGCGCAAGAGGCAAGACACAGTAGGTAAGTAGGAGTTGTTGCTGGTTGAGGTTACAGAAAGTACCAGTAGCTGATTGAGACTTGAGAGGCACACGGCACACAAGACGGCAGCTCTCGGCTCGGCAGAAGCGGACGAGACGGTGCGGAACTGCGGGTCGATCCGTGACCCGCCCGATCGGCCCCTCTCCATCTTTTTGTGCGGCAGAAACCCGCGGGAGCTATCAGCGATGCTGCTCCCATCGTCAATTTTTTTAACACTTTTTTAAATTATTTTTAAATCTAACACTGTTTATTATTTTTCAAAACTAACATTTTTTGTCACGCCTATTTTCCTGACGCGGTGAAACGCCTGTGCCGTGCTATGCATGGTGGCGCGGCGAGATGGTTGACGTGACGACGACCGAGACGCTGACCGGTGACGTGGCAGGGTCTGCCGCGCCACCGATCAGGGCGCGGCAGGTGGCGCGATAGAGCCGGATAAAGTTAGTTGACCGTGGCAGAGTAGGAATGCAAATCAAAGCTGTTGTGTAGCTGCACATCGCGTCCTCATGTTGGCCCTCGCTCTCTCTCTCTCAGAATGGCTCTAGCTCTCATTAAATACATTGAATTAAAAAAATAAAGCCAACTCAACTCAGATAAAAAAAATAAAGCCAACTAGCCAAGCTACCTGCTCAACTTTTGGCGCGTGCATGCTGCAGCAGCGGAGAAGACGATCGTGGCACATGCAGGGTGATAAAGCCGCTGCAGCCGGTGACCTTTAACATGTCGGTGCCTGAATCTGACCAGACGGCACCAGAGATTCCTGTGAACCAGTGAGACTACTTTGTACAAATTGCGACTATTTTTTTAGTTTATATTTAAAGTAACTAATTGTATAAATTACGACTACTTTATGAGACGAAATTTTTAAGCTTAATTAGTTCATGATTTGACAATATGTTGCTATAGTAATCATATACTAATGACGGATTAATTAGATTTAATAAATTCGTCTCATGGATTATCGAAGACTTGTGTAAATAATTTTATTATTACTATTCAAACAATCTTATATAATGTAACATCCGATTTTAGACCTCGATCGAACACCAACTAAACAAGGCCGTTGATTTGGATTCTCTCAGCACAGTGCCTACACATGCACATGCACCAGAGCAGCTAGCCAGGCACGTGCACATGCACATGCACATGCACAAGAACATGCACCAGAGCAGCTAACAGACATATTTTTATACTTTTATATACTTGACATGATTCTATAAAGTGCTCCTGTTAGTGATAATTGAGAACCGACAAGTAACACAATGATGAAATATTATATGGTGGTACTCCACAAAGTTTGCACTATAATTTATTCGGCAATAGCCACAAGTGATCCAAAATTTTCGTAGTGTTTTTTAAATGGTCGAATCGAGCCAACCGTTGTTATTTCTAGGTTCCATTAGTGTATCACGATAATAGATTAGAGAGGGTAGCAAAATACTGATCTTGATATGGAGTACCCTACCTCAAACGTAGATGAGGGTCTTTATCGCGTTGTGCGCTAGTGCAGGACAAATTTCAGGACACTTATAAATACACTTATTTTAGGATAAAATTTAAATACTAGAAGGGAGTAACTCCTTTTGCCTCGTACTATAAACTAGTTACTAGTTCTAAGTTAACTCCCTCAATAGTGCTAACTTTAGCACATGACTCATTACATAAATTGCTCCATATGATATACTCACGTGATCTTAAAATGTGTGTACGAGTCTAGCTCTCAGCTTAACAAAATTATGATAAATAATTAGATCTAGCTTACGAGTGAGGTGCCTAGACCCACGTTGTGAAATCCAATCAACCGCAGGGGGAGAGAGAGAGAGAGCGCAGGAGCGAACCTGAGGACGTCACATCGCCGGTCCGTGACACCAGCTCGACAAGAGCACGACAAGGAGCCGGCTCAGAACGTCTCACGGGTGTATAGAATCTCTGGTGCCTTCTCATCAGTCGATTCTCACGTCCGTCAAATCTCATCATCTGCAAACTGGAGAGAGAAATGCCACCGGCTACAGCGGCTTCATCACCCTGCATGCGCCACGATCGCCTTCTCGGCTTCTCAACTGCTGCTGCTGCAGCATGTACGCCCCAAAAGTTGAGCAGGTAGCTTGACTAGTTGACTTTATTTTTTTACCTAAGTTGAGTTGGCTTTATTTTTTTTAATTCAATGTATTTAATGAGCCCTGAGAGAGAGAGCAGGAGCCAACATGAGGACGCGATGTGCAGCTACACAGTAGCTTTGATTTGCATTCCTACTCTGCCACGGTCAACTAACTTTATCCGGCTCTGCCGCGTCACCGATCTTGGCGCGACATATCGGTGGCGCGGCAGACCCTGCCACGTCACCGGTCAGCGTCCCGATCGTCGCCACGTCAACCCTCTTGTCGCGCCACCATACATAGCGCGGCACAGGCGTTTCACCGCGCCGGAAAAATAGGCGCGACCAAAAGTGTTAGTTTAAAAAATAAACGTATTAGATTTAAAATTAGTTTTAAAAAGCGTTAAAAATAAAAAAAATCCCCGTCGTCATCCCCCGGCCCGTTCTTTCGTCCCCGCCGTAGAGCCTGTCACCGCGACACCACCGGTTGCGTCTCGGTCTCGCTGCCGGCCGAAGAGAGAGTCCCTTCGTCCTGTGCCGCCCGTCGTGTCGCACCAAACCTACCCTATGGCTTGGCCTGGCCCGTTGCATCCATGCGGTGGCCTGCCCTGGCCTTCCCAAAATATTCCTAGTTTTCTTCCTGTCATATATCATACATTCATACTGTACGTCTTGTATCCTTGTCCCGTTAGCGATCTCCCGCATGTTCGATCTCATTTTCCGGCCTTCTTGTCACCAAACTAGTCAAGATAGAATAATCAATCGTTTAAATTGAAATTAAGAAAGTTATTCTCTGGCCTTCTTGTCATCTTTTAATTGAAATTAAGAAAGTTATCTAGGTATTTATCACGGAAAATTAAAGTGGTTCCTTATTTAGCGCTTGTTTAAAGATAAAATTTCTCAATTTTCTTATACATCACTGCCTTTATTTTAATTTTTCGACACGAGGCAACTCCATTTGGAAACACAAAGAGTCAAAGAGTTTAAACCAGAAACAAAGAGAAGATGGTGCCCAGAAGTAAACTCGCAGAGTTACAGCACTACGCTACCGAACCTCTGACTCAGAGGTTAACAAAGAGAAGACAATGGCCAGAAGTAAACTAGCTAGCAGGGTTGGTATATCACTACCGAACCTCTGACTCTAAGAGAACTTTTATAATATAAGGAAGTACAAAGTGCAGAAACTAAGGGGGTGTTTGGTTCCAGGGACTAATTTTTAGTCCCTGTCACATCGGATGTTTGACACTAATTTGGAGACTAAATATATTCTAATTACAAAACTAATTACAGATGGAGACTTGGTTTAGAGGCAGATCTATCTATTAAGCCTAATTAATCCATCATTAGAGTATATTTACTGTAGCACCACATTGTCAAATCATGCACTAATTAGAATAGATTACTTTAGTCTCCATCTATGTAATTAGTTTTGTAATTAAAATATATTTAATACTTCAAATTAGTGTCCAAACATCCGATGTGACATGGACTAAAAAATAGTCCCTGGAAACAAACACCCCCTAAGTCACCTCATTTACTAGTGCTAATAAAAAAATCTCAGATAATTTGGGACTTGCGGCCACTTTAATTTCCATCTCCACTAATTCAGCTACTATACTGATAGACTGTATGTGTCTATGGGCTTCTTCTGGTTGTAGAACCAGGCTAGTTCAATTTGAACACCCTACCAAACGGCCCCTATATTCACTGGCGGAGCTTCATTGGGGCCATAGTGGGCCATGGCCCCCCCTCATATTTGCAATTTTATAGATGTTGCTACAGTACTTAAGAATATTTTGCTAGTATAAAGCTTTATAATGGCCACCTCAACACTTCCTAAACCATGCTTATTTTCTTGTTGGCTCCCTCTATATTTATCATCAAGCTCCACCACTGCCTATATATGTATGGGCTTCTTGTGAAGAAGTGTGATTGATGATTATAAGTACCAAGTTCAATTTCTGCTTTATATTATTGTCAGAAAACGACGAGCTATATATTTCAACTGTGGTGTACTTTAGCGAGGATGAGCCATATATATGGTATAGAAGTAGGAGGTAAATGTATATACATACTACGACGCCAGCAACGGCCACTTACGTAGAGTCGCACAGAAATCGAATAAGAATAAGAAAGAGTGGTGCTCATGATAAGATGGCTTTCCCTGCTTTACCTTGTACACAACGCCACAGCCCGCGCAATACAGGTGATTACTGATTACAGAAGATCACATTAGCAGCTGACCTCCCCCTATCGCTTATTCCTCCCTAATTAAACACGGTAAGTAATAAAATCCAAAAATAACTAAAATAATAAACATCATGACTAATTTAAGTAAAGTACGCCAGCAGCTAATTCAGTGCTAGTGTGCTAGGAGGTGCTTGTGCTTCTCTTCTCGGATATCCACTGCTTGTACTTGTCGAAGAACTCCTTGTTCTCCTTCTCCAGCTCCTTCCACACTGCAAATGCTCGCAGGAAACATATATGAATATTTACCAGAAAAATTTCAGATGGCAATTCGTTCCTCGTTTCTACTACTGAAATGACCTGTGGAGGTGACGACGGGCTGGACGTCGGCGCGCTTGGCCAGCGCCTCCATGCACTCCTCCATGCTCATCCCGAACGTCATGCACCTCTCTATCAGGTGCTGCACCTGCATGCGTGAACGACGACGACGGCGACGGCGACCACCGCAGTTAGTTCCGAGCATCATGCATGCATTCAGACGAGTGTGACTTCAGTTCAGGAGAACTAATAATACAGGAACTAATAATGAAACAGATTGGAGAAAAATGGATACTTAATTACCGTGTGAATATAAGAGGCGGGATTAGAGTCGCCTCCGGGAGCCATGGATCCTTTTGGTTTTTTTGGTTTACTGCAGCGAGCGAGAGTCTATGGATGCCCTGCCCGCAATCTGATTCCGTGTGTGACGATAAGGCGTGCAGAGTCGACAGGGGAGGATCGTATATATACATGCGCCACGGATGAGGACACCAACTCCCGCCCGCCGCTTCGCTGGGAGAGGTCCACGGCTCCTTCCACCCGCTGGCCGCGGCGACGGCCAGTCGGCGCCGGGGTTTCCTCCTGTGGACCGAGCGCACGGAGCGGGCGCGGGAGGAAAAGCGGGGGCGGGCGGGCCGGGCGTTCACGTGGGCGCGGGGAGCCAATTGGAGGAGCGGAGATTGGAAAGCGACGTGGGCCGCCGTGCGCAAATATCTTTCTCCCCCGGCCGGCCCGTGGCCTATGCGGGCGGCCCCCCACGCGAGGAAGCCGCCAGGTGGACATGCACCTCGCCCTCTTCACGTGCCACTCCTTGGCCCGGAGCGGCGCCGGTCCCGGATCCTCTGTCTGAAGAGCCGAGAGCGGCATCAACCAGACTGACCAACCCCGAGCGGCCGAGCAGGAGCAGACGGCGGCTCCGCGGTCGCCGGTCGCGGCCACGACTCGGCACAGGGATCAGGGCATACGCGCGCCGGCGCAGCGGATCCTGCTAAGGTTCCTGTGCGCCACCACGGGACCTCGCAAGTGGCCGCCGAGCAGACAAAAGCCCTGCGCGGGGCCGTGCCCGGCCGACGCGTAGCCTGGTAGCTGTCTACATGACGGAGTACCTGTCGCGCATGCACAGCGCCTACGCAGCATGACCGATCCCCTCCCGGCCTCCCTTGGTGTGCGGACAGAGCTGTGACGGGGCCTACGGCTCCGTTCTCCATCAGATCGGCGGCTAACAAAAGGGCCTGATGTATGGAGTTCTGTGATGGGTCGTTCGGTCCCCCTGCACCGTGCGTCCGCGCCCATTGCGTGTGCGCTCGCCCGCGCGAGTATGGCTGGACGGACCAAAGCGAATGGCACGCTTGCTTCGCAGTTCGCACACACATGACGAACCCCAAGCGCCTCATGGTTTCAATGGGGATGCTGGATGCTTCCGACAAAGAGGAACCGTATAGGAGTACTTGGAAAGGGAAACGCAGAGGCGGGCTTCATGGGCCTCTAGGTTAGGGCCTGCACTACTCCTGTCTTGAAAGACATGATGGGCCTCGCGAACATCTTTCCCTAAAGAGCCGAACTGGCTGACAACTTCAGCCTGCTTTCATTTTTTTTTTTTGCAAGGAGCCAAGAATGGTTACGTAAATTCAAGTTGCGATGCAGATTAAAATTTAAACTTCATCGTGAGGAATAATAAGAAGTTTGTTACCGTGTTTGCTCCTATTGTTAGCCGTTGATCATGCAAAAAAATAATTAATTGTAGTTTGTTTGTTTGAAAGGGTAATTGTAGTTAGTTAACGGCATTTTAGTACTTTGATTTGATTTTAGTCCTGGAAATTTTGACTCTGTTCGGCAGGATTTATTACTGCTGCGGTTGATTCGTAGACTAAAAAAGTATGGCTGATTCTGACTTATAAGCTCAAACGAAGAGAGTCTTTGATGCGCATGGGTATGGTTGAGTGATACTTATGGAGTACCCATTGCCGTCCCTAACTGTTAATGGAGCCTTGTCCGCCTCTTATTTTTTATGAATTATTACTATGGTGGACGGATGGTCGTAACTCGTAAGCCCATAAATACCAGGACACGTGCGCTTGTGAAGCTTGAGAGAGAAGAAATAGATTATTTCAAAGGAAAGCTGAAAGCACCGGATTCTCTGGTCAGGGTGGAATTTAACCTAACATCACGGAATCACGGGTTCAATAGTTCAGAAGAACAAGCTGCCATGTGGTGATCTTTGGAGGAACCGATGGTTCCTTTCAGGTGTATATAAACGACGAGCAATTGTGAACGGAGATGGACGGACGTGCGCAGCATCGCAAAGCTGGCGAGGAAGACATGGTACCTGGTCTGGTTGGTGACTTGGTGGGGTGGGACTAATTAGGAGCGAGCTTCCAGAAGGATGGCCCGAATCTGGGGGGCACCTAGCTATGGATAATTATCGCTCGTTTCCGAGCTGCGCTGCCTGGGTCGTCAATGACCGTCGCGATCAGGCGCTGCTCGTAGTCAACAAGGCGACAGCGTGGAGGACGATTAATTCTACGGCTACCCAACCCGACAATACGCTCTGGGACACCAGCTTGTCATTTTATACAGGTACTAATGCCGGCATTAAAATTAAGACAGTACTGCCTCAAGTAGTCGAGTGTATATGTACCGTTTGACATGCCAGTACAGTCACCATTCATCTATTTTATATTATATTATATAATTTATGATTTAGATTTATAATTATTGGATACTATGTTTTGTTGTAAATCTAAACATTTCAGGTTTGTATTACAGTATAATTCAAAATTGTTGGCCAAATTATCAGTCATAAATTGTATTTTTTTAGAATCTTAATATGTATGTGCGCCTTAGAAAGTGGATCAAAGGGAGTATGTGTGAGGGAGGTGCGATATGTTGGTCTAGCTCGTATTATATGTGCACACTAATCCTATGGTTTGGTAGCACTGGATTTTGTTGTTAAGTACTCCCTCTATTCTAAATTATAAGATATTTTGCTTTTTTATACATTATTTTTTGCTATGTATCTAGACATAATGTATATCCAAGTGCATATCAAAAGCAATGTATTTATAAAAGCCAAGCGTCTTATAATTTAAATTGGAATGACATACTCCATCCTACAAAGAATACTACAATTTCTAGCAGTTGTGTGTTGTCCCAGAAAAAAATGTAACTCTAACTTAAGAGTAGGTGTGGTATACTAGAAAGGTATGCTGTCTAGATGTATGATGTAATGAAATATAGAGTTTATAGGTGCAAGCACAATCATTTGCTTTTGTCCAATTAATACATGCGGAGAATAAAAAGTGCAGAGGGTATATGTGTTAGTTTCGCTAGACGCATCTAAACATAAAAAAATTCAAAAGAGATGAAATGAACAATGAGTGAAACCACCATTTGGATTGAAGTGCCTTGTTTCAAAATCACCCTACAAGGACACATCAATTCCATTATTACATATACGGGTTGCAAAATCGTAGACCCAAATACACATCGTTTTTTTAGCGTTGACAATTGTTTGGATAGGAGTCTGATCTCCACACCTTTTGGATGGTTTGCAAAAGGCACTAGTCACCAACAAATGGAGAAAAACTATGACAACCAAATCAGAGTTATGATAGTCAGACTGATAAATAAACAACTATCTAACAAGCTACGACATGTTAATGTTTTGTTTATGAATCTTAAACAAATGCTCTTTACATATAACTTTATAGGTTGCATTATGTCGGTGTTTCAATCACCGGCTAGTAAATTTCTAGTTTGCGCGTCTGACCCGGATGGCTATGCTCGGAGGACACAAAGATTTATACTGGTTCGAGCGGAACGTCCCTATGTTCAGTCTGTTGCTGCTCGTGTTACCAACACTTGGTTTGTAGTAGGGGTTACAAACAGGCGAGAGAGGGAGAAGGTCCCCAAGTCTCTAGTAAAAAGGGTGAGTCTGGTTGAGCTTTTCTGTCTACTGTCGGGTGCCTAAGTCTTCAGGCGCTCAGACGTGTTAGATGTGCGTGAATGCCCCCTCCATGGGGTGCCTTGCTTCCCCTTTTTATAGATGAAGGGGAAGATGCAGGTTACATCGGAGAGAGAGAGATGAGGAGAGGAAGGCTTCTGGGATTGCAACATCTTCCATCTCTCTTGTGCGGGTCCTGTCGGCCCTATAGATGATGATGGGGATGGCTCCATGTCGTGGCCCTGTTCGTCACTAGCGTCGTACGTGGGTGTCGTCAGCCGGTCGTGGCGCTCCATCCCGTCCCAGCGGACGGTATGGCTCGCTGACGCCTTCGCTGGAGGCCATACAGGGAGTAGGTAGCATAGCGCCGGCACGCCCGATGCTGTTGGTGACGTGCGTCCTCAGACGTGGCCCGTCATGGCCGCAGGTCACGTCAAGACACGCCTACTCCCCTTCTGGCGTCAGAAGTTTGACCTTGGACTCGTACTTTTAGAGCCGTAGTGGTTGGGGGTGAGGCGGAGTCCGTGCCCTAGGGGTCGGGCGTGATGAGGCTCTCGCCCGAGGGGTTGGGCGAGACAGAGCCCACGCCCTTAGGGTCGGGTGACCCGGATCCCGTATCCTTGAGGTCAGGCGAGACAGAGCCCATGCCCTAGGGCCGGGTGAGACCAAGATACGCTCTTGACCATCCGAGAGAGTTAGCGTTCGTGGCCATTAGCTTCCTTCTTCCGGTATCCCTGATACTGATACCTGATAGTAGTCTCGGAGCCTGCGGAGGAGTAGGATACTCCTTCGAAGGCTTTTCAGACGGAAGGATTCTGAGGATCTTGATCTCCCTTTGTGGGCTACGGGATGTCTTGGTATGGTCGAGATTCCTTTCCATCATGTTCGGACTCCTCGGGAGCATGTAGCTATGCGATTCGGGGGATCATAGAAGATCTCTCTTGATTCTGATTCCTCTCTAGGATCTAACCGATCCGCCATTGTTATATGACCGCGTATTCGGTCTCCTTGTGAGTCCAACTCTCGAGCCCCTACACGCAACAAGGGTCTAGTCGAGGGGTTAGCTCATCTTAAGGTCGTCCTCCCTCAAGCATTTTTTGATAAAACGGAGGGGCTGAGCTGTGCCATGTTTTCCTCGATTGACGAACTATGGTGGTTGGCAAACTATTAACGGGCAAGTTTGAGTGGGGCCCCAGCTTCCTGTTCATGGGGGTCCGGTATGGGTCAACTGGTGACCAACTCTAGGTTCCTGACGCCAGTCCATATAGTTCTTGAGTCCGTTCGATCGGTCCTAAGGGCTCGTTGCCTTTCTTCGAGGAAAAACCATGGACCGTGCTCTGTCAAGACTCGAACATGGGCTGGGATGCCCACGGCGCTCATGCGCCTAGGTATTGGCCGCTAGCGG